TTTAATCACTATTTAAGTTTATTAATTAAAAATCATAATATTATTATGCTAATTTCTTCTACATTTGTTATTGTTATTATCTCAATATATATATATATATATATATATATATATATATATATATATATAATATATATATATATATATATATAAAGATAGGAAGTACGTCTGTTCGAACTATATACAGGCTGAAAAAGAGTTGCATCTACGAAAAACCCAGACTTTTACGACCGGAAATGAAACAGCAGATGAAGTATGTTCTTTTTTGTTTGATTACATGATGAATCAACTACCAGTTGAGGTGAAATATCTTTACATTTTTTGTGACGGAGCGAGGGGCTAAAACAAAAATTGTAAGATGGTCCGTTTCATTCACTATGTCGTGTTGTTAGAAGGCTGGAAGCCACAGATCTATCCTTTTAGAGATAAAATGCTATAATTTTTTGAGAAGCGTTACAAGAAAAAATGTCCGTTTAGCACTCAGAAAATGAAAAAAATTATTGTAAAATCCGGTCAATTTATGCCTGTAAGAATTCGAGATAACTACAATGGTGTTATGATCATGCCGTTCATTCAAGGACACTCGACAGTGTGCCTAAGATAATTATCTTACTCAAAAAGGTTTGATTCTACTTCCGGAACAATCATATTCAAAATTTTTACCAGTAATTAAAGAAAAATGCAATGGCATAAAGCATTTGTCTAAATTCTGTGAGAAAGCAATTAAATTTCTTTGTAATGTTCCCCCCTTTTTCCCAAATCAATGCAATTTGAGTTTTAAATATTTACTATCGGACCAACTCGACATCGAGTTTTGATGTAAGTTTTGCTGATATTTAAGAGGGGCGGAGTCTAACGATCCATCGTTTCCGTCGACTGGTGTAAATGTTCCAAAAATCCCAAAAATAAACTGTATCGACGCCAATTTTTTTAAATTAAAAATCGATACAGTAGTTTTTTAGGATTTTCAGGAAGATTTACATTAGGAAACGGAAACAATATGATTGTTAGACTCCGCCCCTCTTAAATAAAAAACGGAAGTAAAACCGGAAGTCACTTTTTTTGCATATTTTAGATTGTAAAATGCCACGTTATGACTGGAACACCGTGAAAGAAACCAGAACTTGCGAGCAACTCAACAACAGAATAGAGAAACTCGCCTAGCTTTCATTGATGACATCACCACTCCACAACAACATTAAAAATACATTGAAAATTAGGACTTTAAATTTTGAAGAATGAAACCTGTAAAATTCCTATACTTTACTATTGGAAAAATTCATTTTATGGCCGCCATTTTTAAACCGGTTCGAATTTTTTAAATTTGAAACCATAGGGGAAATCTACTCAACAATCTGTTTAATTATTCGAAAAAATTATTCTCCTATCTATCACCGTTTAGGAGTATTGCGCACAAGAACTTAGCCTTTTAGTATATAAGATTGTGTTCATGAAATTCCGTTTCATGGAAAAGTTATTTTTGATGTGAATTCAATTTTAAAATTTTTAGTAATGTTTAACCAATAAAGTTTTTTATCAGAAAAACATATTCCTTGACTCTCCTGTCACCAATAATAAAAATCCAGACTTAATAACTTCAATTTTTAAGTTTTTGACAGCTATGGTTATTTGACATTCGCCCAGCTTAACACCCTTCATTTCTAAAAAGCAAAATGGGAAAGCAATAAAAATGACAGAAACAGAAATGACATTTCATAAAATGCTGCTTTTCAAATGGCAGTTCTCAATCTAAAATATATGTTTACGCTGTAAAATTAATATCGGAAATAAACTGAAAACCCAATATTACTTTAATTTACTTAAAGACAATTTAGATAAGCGTATCGCATGACTGTCATAGGTGCGATTAGAAAGTCATACGAAAACAATGAAAATTTACAAATAATTATATGAATTTCAAAGTAGTGATGCCGAAGTAGTAGGGGAAGTATTTGGATGACGTCAAATAGAAAATGATAACAATTTAACAGTGTTTAACATTAAACTTAATACAAAACAATAACTATGAAGACAATTTAGGATTACACTTATTGTATGTTGATTTAAAGAGCCCTATGACTCCAACATCGATGAGAAATATTGTACATTGGTGTCCACGCGAACACAAAAAGTAAGAACTTACAAGTAAGATCACAAGAACGGTGGGAAGACGACATCAAAGCAGAAGTGGAGAAAAACTGGTAATAAATAGCTCAAACAGAGCATGTGTAGAACCAGTGGAGAGGCCTTTGTCCTGGAGTGTGTTCAAATAGGCTGAAGAAGAAGATGATGACTTCATAAATAGAGCATATGATACGATGCAATAAGATCATAAGAATTTGTAGAAAAACTAAAACGGCTAGTTAGATTGGCATTAATTAGCACAGCCAACCGCATTAACGGTAGATTAAAACAAAGGATCATCTATCAATGAATCTATTTATTATAGTGGTAGAAAAATAATTAGAGATTAAAATGTTTAGAGTAATGCCAGAATTTTAAACAAGAGACAAAATGCATACCGTAATACGATCCAGAATAGTGATAACTAAAAGAGGCAAAGGAGGAGAAATAGACAAAATACTAATAATCGGTGACAAACAGAATACATTATTGAAGGTAAAACGTGTATCTAGAGCAAACGTGTGGAATTACAAATAAAGAAGTACTGGAGAGGATTGGTAAAGAAACAGAACTAATCACCACTATACAAACCAGGAAACTGGAATACCTAGGCCACATGATGAGGGGACCAAAATATGAAATTTTTAATTTTATACAAAATATGAAATTTTATCATAATACAGGGAAAGATTGAAGGAAGAAGATCTGTTGACCGAAGGCAAAACTCATGGTTAAAGAATCTACGTTCTAAAATAAAAATAGCCAATATAATTGCCAACCTCCGTAGGGAGACGACACTCTAAGAAAAAGAAGAAGAAGAAGAGCAACCGAAACCCATTCATATGAAACAATAATTCGACAGAAGGACATGCATAAATGAAAAATATGAACCACCAAAAAATTACAATTTGAGGGAGGATAATTCTACGAAAATATACTATATGTATTTTATTGTGGGTTGTAGACTTTAAGTAAGAATTTTGTCGAATTAAATCGGTTTAATATGAATTTGTCGGTTAAATATGAAAATTTAATATAAATTCTTAAACAAGTAAGAATAGACAACATGGATCATAACCAGCAAGCAAATGTCAAAATTGACCTAAATATTTCTGAAACAATTAAAATTCTCCAAGGGGTTAACCACCACTGCTTTTTCGAGCATATTTGAAAGAGAATATTCCTAGGATTTATGTCGGTATTACGGCTAACGGAATTAAGATCAGTGATGTGAGATATACGGATGATACTATATTGAATTTAATGCTTCAAAAGCTAGATATATCGTAGTCAGCAAAACACCGGTTGATGACTACATAATTATAGCATATAGTGTTGAAAGAGAAAAAATGGAGAACGTAACTTATTTTGATTCAAATATGTATGGCAATTGGGATATGAACAAATACATAAAAATCCGAATTGAAAAGGCCAGAGCAGTGATCTTTTTAATGAAAAAAGTATGATGTGGCTGGGGTATTAATAGCAATCTGAAAATAAGCTTTATAAGCTATCCTAAGAAAATAAGGGTTGAAAGCTGGACACTCACTAACTATCTTATAAATAAACTTCACGCTTTCAAAAGGTGCATGTATGCTATGTATCTGCTGAGTTGACAGAGTGACAAATCAAGAGGTACTATAACGTCTAAAAATTTATATTTGCTCATGTCATGCGACACCCAGAACGGCATGGATTTTCCATTTTATTATCTATGGCAAAATATGTGAAAATAGGAAACCTGGTCGATAAACGTGATCAGTCTTCATCATCACTCTTCAGAGCTGGGTGAATAAAACTATGATAGCCAACGTTCAGTAATGGAGAAAGTACGGAGAGAAGAAGAGGAATTCTATAAAAAGAAGAAACATTTTATGAGACGGTTTCGAAAAGGAAGGAGAATAGAGGAAAAAAGTAATTGAGAATTACGGTTTCGAAAGGGAAGGAGAATAGAGGAAAAATAGTATGTTGGTAATTAATGAAAATATATGGCGATCGAAAATAATACAGAATGGGTGATCCCTTCCCATTACCCAAGTTGCCTCTTATATATTTTGCTGCCCCATACTATCTAATTTGGTTTTTCTGTTTTCGAGATAAGCCATTATATTTTACCTTTCAATTTTAAAATTTTATTAAAGTCAGTATAACACCAAATAAGAAACAAGATCCAATTCAGGCACTACACAAATGGCGGAGAGACAGAAAGATGAGCATAGGCAATAGAAAAAATATATAACATACAGGCAAAAAGCATACTTCTTTTATGGACAGAACGAAGAAGCAGATGTAGATCGTTGGTATATTTGCTGCAATTGACAAAGAAACGAAATGCTCTGATAATATTACAAAGGAGAAAAATAAGAGAAAAAAAAAGAAGGCGAGAAAAGAAAGATATTAGTAGAAGCTGTCAAACTGAAAAAACAAATAAGGTGCAAAAAGTAACCTAAAAGGCCAAGGACTTCTTTAACGTATAATGCTGTAAGGTGTAAGGTCGCAGGCAAAAAACGTCCTCCCTCATATTTTCTTCAAAAGTATTTAACGAAGAGATGCAAATAGCTGTTGCGCATATTGTCGCGTACCTACTAAAAGACTTCGTCTTAAATTAAATGTTAGAGGAAACTCTAGTATTAAAAAAGTCACACGAATAAAAAAATTTGATAAATACATCCTTGACATTTACTAAAACCTTCCAAGAATAATTAATTTGTATCTAGGTTAAATTTTGGAATTCCGAAGGTATTTTTACCTCTATTTTAACTAGAAATGTGAAATTAAACATGTAAATGAGGCACTAAAAAACTGTTTACTACCAAAAAACAAAGACGCAAAAAAGAAGACTAATATGTTGAATAATTGAATAGACAAATAATTACCTGTATTTATTATTACACTCCTGATATAATTGCACACACACTTCAACAATTAAACAAACTGCTTTTTACTACCACAACTGTTTACTCATTTTTCGTAAATGCTGTATGTAGCGCCGACACAGGCTGATATTCAAATGGACTGTTGCATTTCATTAGTGATTAAGCGAATTTGAATTAAACTGGTTTAGCGAAATATCTTTTGCTTGAAACAACCAAACTTTTGCCTTGATGGAAGTTGTGTTAATATTTTACCTAAAAAACATTTTTCTGGAAATAATTTTTAAATTAATATTTACATATATATATATATATATATATATATATATATATATATATATATATATATATATATATATATATATATATATAAATATATATATATATATATATATATATATATATATACCTGCGACTCTCTTGGAAAAAATATATACCTAAATATATCAATTAACTCACCAAATTAAATTAGTTTACTTATAAAAAAATCTGCTGCTGCACATATTTAAAAAACACTGTTTTAAAAAATTAGTTTGTCTAATAAATGTTTCTCTTTTATTTTTCAAACCTAATTTTGAAAAATAAATTAAAATTTAAATATTTAAATTTTGATTTACATAGACAACTTTTTTGACGAAATGCCCCTGAAGATGAGTTAAGAACGCAAATACTTGGATAAGATTTAATAAAAAAACTGTGCTCGATATCTGCCTTATATTATATATTCGAGCATTCAACTGTATATTATATTATAATTATATATATGTATATATATATATATATATATATATATATATATATAAAATTATAATATAATATACAGTTGAATGCTCGAATATATAAGGCAGATATCGAGCACAGTTTTTTTTATTATATATATATATATATATATATATATATATATATATATAATGAGTACTGGATATTCGTGACTGTGAATTTAAACAAACAACAAAGTTTATTGGGGCTGCAGTCAGAAGTTTGGCCGGGATGTTACAGAAACACTCTTTTGACTTTTGGTCTAGCTTTCGGAATTGTTTATTTCCTTTATCAAGACACTGTAATTAGAAAAATGTGTAAATATTTACAATATATCACAAAATGTCAGTGTACTTACTAGTCGTTGAGATTATTTGTAAGAAGCTATGACACTCAACATTAATAACAAACATATAAACTATAACTTATACAATAATGGATACAATACATTTTAAAATTTAGTTAAAAATAATAAAAGTTCTAAAAATTCGTTTTCTACATCTTCTTGGTGTGTTTTAACTTACCCATAGAGAATAAAAAAAAACAAAAATAAAAATATTATGATTAAAAATTCATTAGGAGTTCTTCATATTTTATTAATAGAAGGTAATGTATTAAACCTGTGTTGATGGTATGCAACCTGTTTAGCAAGCAGGTGTATTATGGTGTGTATATGTACAAGTAAGTCTTTGTGTCATTTTTGATATTAAGTCAGTAAATAACAATAAATGATACTCAATTTGTCTATATCGGACTTCTTATTTATACAAGACGCACTGGACTTTATTAAACACATTTCCAAGAAAACGCGTTTAGAATGGTTATTTTCCCTTGCCAGAATACAGGAATCCTCGAAATTAAATTCATGTTTTAAACTTAATGCATGTTCTGTCAACGTGCATGCGTTAATTTTTTTGGTTTTTATGTCGCTGCGATGTGAGATCACCCTACTGTGAAAATTACGAGATGGTTCACCAATGTACACGTTTTTGCAATTAGCACAGGGTATAGAATAAACAACATTAGATGATTCCTGTATTGTGAAAGGATCCTTTCTCTTTGTGTACAACTTCGATACCGTTTTCACAGTTTTAGTTGCAATTTTTAAGCCACTTACATTTTTGAAAATGTTCATTATCTTAGGGGTTAGGACTGGAATATAGGGTAGGCAACCATACGTTATTTTAGATTGTGGTAGCTCTGATGTGTTGTGTGTCAATGTCGATGTAAGTTGTCGGACCTCATTATTATGAAAATTTTGGTTCTCAGAAAATTGCAACGGAAAAGTAGTACCAAAAATGAGTTTATTTAGAAGCACTAAGGGATAGGAGTTCTCTTGTAGTATAGATCTCAACTTTTTCAGTCCGTTGTCTCTGAATTCAATGTGTGATAAGTTGATAACCCTAGTTTTGAGGGCCAAAACCAAATTTGTTTTCAACTTAGATGGATGTTGAGAATAAAAGTTTATGAAACGGTTACTAAAACAAGGTTTACGATACCACTCCGTCTTTAGCATGCCATCACTGCCACGATGTATCAGCATATCTAAAAAAGGAATCATATTCTCAGCCTCTCTCTCAACCGTAAACTTTAAGTGTTCACCCTGGGCATTAAAGATATTTAAAACATCAGTGATTTTGTTTTGTTGACAACTTAGAACTTTTATTATTTTTAACTAAATTTTCAAATGTATTGTATCCATTATTGTATAAGTTATAGTTTATATGTTTGTTATTAATGTTGAGTGTCATAGCTTCTTACAAATAATCTCAACGACTAGTAAGTACACTGACATTTTGTGATATATTGTAAATATTTACACATTTTTCTAATTACAGTGTCTTGATAAAGGAATTAAACAATTCCGAAAGCTAGACCAAAAGTCAAAAGAGTGTTTCTGTAACATCCCGGCCAAACTTCTGACTGCAGCCCCAATAAACTTTGTTGTTTGTTTAAATTCACAGTCACGAATATCCAGTATTCATTATATATATATATATATATATATATATATATATATATATATTGAAATGATTTCAATATGTCAAAGAGGATATAACTTAAAGGGATTTTTATATGAGTTTGTTGTTCATGAATTTCATGAAGCCATCACAATGTGGGGTCGACTCTGAAATAAAAGGGAGAAAAGATTAGTAAATTGCTAAATAAATTAATTTTGACTTACCTGGTATAGTGTTAATAATTTCTGAATAGTATAGTTGCCTAGTGTATAGGTGAATCGTCTAAACCTTAAAAGGAATAAAAAAGAAGAATTCTTAAAAAATTATTTAAACATAGAAATTTTAAAAATAAACGTCAGAAAAATAAACTGTCAAAAGTCTGTGGGAACTAAATTAATAGGGGTTTTGTTAAATAAATTACAATGATGTGGAGATGAAAAGAATAAATTATATTAGTATTGTTAAGTTTTATATCTGAATTTTTTTTTTTTATAAATTCTCAAATTAGATGTGATTAAAGTGCTTATGAGAAATTAATGTGGTTTGACAAATATGTCAAAACAGGACAGTTTTATGGTTGAATAAAATAGAAGACGGAATGAAAAAAGAAAAGGGGTTGCTGTTAGCAACGAATAATTTTAGTAGTTGGTGCTAGCTATGGCGGTTAACAAGGAAGAATAGGTTGTTGGAGGCGACGAAAATTTTGGAGGAAGAGCCCTAAAAAGGTGGAATAGTCCGGGAGTGCTTTAAAATCGTTTAATTATAATTTAGTTTTTCCACATTTTCAAATAGAGATATCCAGAATTTGTTCCAGAGAGTAAGAGAAATTTTGACTTATAAATTATAATTGGAGTGCAGAAATGTCATTTAGATTGAAAAAGTAAAAATTCATGAATTAACTAATTGCGATAGGCCTTAAAAATTGAAATATTAATGATCATTAAAATAAAAATATAATAGTACGTACCTTTAACTTCCGAAGAGAGGATAGATATTCCAGTATCACCGATTATTTTGCGAGTAGTTAGTTTTCTTTAAAAAAAAAAAAAATCAGAACTGTTTGAAAGTGAGTTTGGATAATAATTTTGGGGATCATTTGAAATTTTGATTATATTTTAATGCTAGTTATAAGTCAGCGGCATAAAGTGTTCAGTTTTCTTTTCTTTATATTTCATTTAAACACTTTATAAAGTTGCAATAGTCATTTAGATTTAAGGTAATTGTAGAGAGTTTCCACATTTTGTAATCAAATTCTATTTTCACGACACATTAAGGTTTACACGATTCCTATTTTTGTAAATTTTTAAAGACAACCCAAGTTGCAGACGAATTTTATTGTTTATATTAAATTTGTTCAATATTAATAAATAACGTGCTTCATTTGGGTTAATTTATCAAAAATATAAAGTAAATTTTGGTTTAATTTCTTTTTGAACTCTACCAGGAGACTACAGAGTTGACGTCACACAGTGACAGATTGCTTAGAACAAATAATTGAGCTAGCCGAGGTATAGTATATTAACAACGAACTACATACTTTTAAAATTCACTTCAATTCAATTAAAATTATATTTATTAACAATAAAACATAAAAATAATAAAAACAAAACTATTACAATTGGCGCTAACAACGTGGAGCCTCTGGGAAAACAGAAATAAGGGTGTTTTTTTTAAGCAGATTTATTAATAATACACAGATTAAAATAAAAACAAATTGGTGTGATTAGAGTTGTAGAGATTCTGGGGTAGTTAAAGTTAAATTTGAGAATAAATAGAGATTAGGATAAAATGGCAGACCGAATGACTTTAAGAAATGGAAAAGAAATCGTACCGAAAGAGAGTGAAGGAGAACAGGTGTTAGAACAGGAACAGGGTATACAGGTAGATGAAGAAAGCAGAGGAGGATCAGGAGAATTTGTAGTACAATATTTAGAGCAAGGCAGACAAGAAGCAGGACAAGGTGATAGAGAGGGAAGTCTAACAGATAGTTTGAGAGAGGAGTTGGATGAGACAGTGAGAGATAGACGTGATGAAAGTGTGGATGAATGTAGAGTGCAGGAGGAGAGACGTAGGGAAGGAGATGTTGGAGAGTCAGGGATGACACAGATGGATATGAGGCAAATAATGCGGATGTTACAACAGATGGATCATAATATTAGGGGAGATATGCACAAAATGGATAGTAATATTAACAATATTAGGGGGGATATGAACAAAATGGAAAATAATATTAAAGGAGAACTTAGGGAAGAGTTAATTAAAATGAGGGAAGAAATCAAAGAAGAAGTGAAGATAGTCAGGGAAGAGATGCTACAAATTACCCAAGGTTTAGAAGAGAAAGTAGAACAGGTCAGAGGAGAAAGTGAGAATTTTAAGAGGAATGTACAGGAGGAGATATCCAGAGAAAAGGCCATAATTAGAGCGGAAATAGGACAGGAAATTGGGAGCAGATTTGTAGAGTTGGGAACAGCCATTAAAGAGAATTTACCAATGGAAATAAACAAAG